TATCTGCCGCTCCCTCACGGCTCCAACCACAGCTTATTTTTATACATATGATTGTTGGTCTGCATGTGTTACATACACCACATATGTCTGTCTCTTCCTGTGCCCAGCATAGAGGTAACAACCTTCTCTCTCTTATGAAGCAGAAATACATATTTTTAAGGAAATTTATGATTTTATTGTAGAAAGCAAAGACACTAAGAAATGGAAGAAAGTCACAGCATGGCACAGGGGAATATAGGTACAAACGAGGCTGTTGTTCTGGGAGAAGCATATAGCAATCGAGGTCAGGGAGGAACTGCTGACCAGCTTCTTCCCTGGCAGTGTCCTAGCAACAGGCTGGTGCCCGGCTGATGGCTGACATGGAGGAGGCTAAAGGTTAGGGGCACTGGTGATTCGCTTTAGGGGAAGACTAGAGACAGACACATGTGCTGGGGTGGAGGGTGGCATGGGTCCAGGGTCCACAGGTTTGGCTTCCATGGTGCTGCCAAGCTCAAGCCCCTTTCGTGGCTTCTTCAATATGAGGTACAAAGCCATAATTGGCATTGGAATTAAAGGTCACAGAGCATGTCCATGATTTTGAGTTTGTGTAGGTCTCACTTGGCACCATTACTTCTTCATATTTTTGCCCATGGGTGTTTCTCAAAGTCTTCAATGGACCGTCTCCTCTCGGGGATAACAGCAAACATTTGGAAAAGGGGGTTTTCAAGTGGTGGATAAACATGATCCCAATCATAATCTGTACCTGTGATGATCTTCACCTCTGTCTCTTTTTAAGTTTTGTCCTTTGAAGGGATAGTAATGAGAGACCAAAAGATTAAAAATCAGGCAGGGAGGAACTTCTGACCAGCTTCTTCCCTGGCAGTGTCCTGGTAACAGGCTGGTGCTGGGCTGAGGGCTGGGCATGGAGGAGGCAGAGGTTGGGGGCACTGGTGATGTGCTTTAGAGGAAGATGAGATAGAGACAGACACATGTGCTGGAGTGGAAGGCGGTGTGGGTCCAGGGTCCACAGTCTTGACTTTGGTGGTGCTGTCAAGGTCAAGCCCTTTTTGTGTCTTCTCCTTCCAAATAAGGTACATAGACATAATTGGCATTGAAATTAAACCCAAGGCCACAGAGCATGTCCACGATTTTGTGATATGGGTAGGTCTCACTTGGCACCTTTACTTCACATATTTTTACCCATAGGTGTTTCTCCTGTTATTATGGTGACCATTTGAACAAGGAGGTTTTCAAATGGAAGAGAAACATGATCCAGAACTTAGTATGTACCGGTGATGATCTTTGCCTCTGTCTTTTAAGTTTTGTCCTTTGAAGGGACATTGAGAGAGACCAAAAATTAAAAATCATGCAAGGAGGAACTTCTGACCAGCTTCTTCCCTGGCAGTGTCCTGGCAACAGGCTGGTGCTGGGCTGAGGGCTGAGCATGGAGGAGGCCAAAGGTTGGGGACAGTGGTGATACGCTTTAGGGGAAGACTACAGACAGATGCATGTGCTGGGGTGGAGGGTGGTGTGGGTCCAGGGTCCACAGGCTTGTCTTCTATGGTGCTGCCAAGGTCAAGCCCCTTTCGTGCCTTCTCCTTCAATATAAGATATAGCCATGATTGGCATTGAAATTAAAGCCAAAGTCAGAGAGCATGTCCACAATTTTAGGGTCTTTGTAGGTCTCACTTGGCACCTTTACTTCACATATTTTTACCCATGGGTGTTTCTCCCTGTTATTACGGTGACCATTTGGACAAGGAGGTTTTCAAGTGGCAGAGAAACATGATCTGGAACTTAATATGAACCCGTGATGATCTTCGCCACTGTCTCTTTTAAGTTTGGTCCTTTAAAGGGACAGTAATGAGAGAGAAAAAGATTAAAAATCAGGCAGGGAGGAACTTCTGACCAGCTTCTTCCCTGGCAATGTCCTGGCAACAGGCTGGTGCTGGGTTGAGGGCTGAGCATGGAGGAGGCCAAGGGTTGGGGACAGTGGTGATGCGCCTTAGGGGAAGACTAGAGACAGATGCATGTGCTGGGGTGGAGGGTGGTGTGGGTCCAGGTCCACTGGCTTGGCTTCCATGGTGCTGCCGAGGTCAAGCCCCTTTTGTCCCTTCTCCTTCAATATCAGGTATATAGCCATAATGGAATTAATCCTAAGGTCACAGAGCATGTCCACAATTTTTGGTCTGGGCAGGTCTTACTTGGCACCTTTACTTCACATATTTTTACCCATGGGTGTTTCTCAAGGTCTTCAATGGACGGCCTCCTTTCTGGGATAGTAGTGAGCATTTGGAAAAGGAGGTTTTCAAGTGTCGGAGAAACATGATCCGGAACATAATATGTATCTGTGATGATCTTTGCCTCTATCTCTTTTAAGTTTTGTCCTTTGAAGAGAAGGTAATGCGAGACCAAAGCATTAAAAATCAGCAGCAATTATTAATATTTAAGGCCTGAACTAGGTGGGTAGAGAAGCCCAGCAATGCCCTGAGGGGAAGAACCCACCTTACTGCATTCTTTCCCTACTAACTAGAGATATGTTGCTAGGAAACAGGCCCATCCACTTAGGGAGGGACACCAGATCATTAATGGTTTGGGGACCTTCCTATAGCCAATCAATTCAAAATGTAGCATTTTGACCAAGATGCTTGCC